CCATTTGGAACCCTGTTTCGGTGTTCTGTCGGAGGGGGAAGCCATCACGGGAGGCCTCTTCATCAATCTTGTTGCCTCCATGATAATGTGTGAGTAGTTCCTTCAGGACCTACGAGTCCATAGTAGTAGTTAGATGGCTTCTTCTTCTTCTTCTTCTTCTTCTTCTTCTTCTTCTCTCTCTCTCTCTCTCTCTCTCTCTCTCTCTCTCTCTCTCTGATTTCAATACAATGATCTCCTATGAGATCAAGCCCGTGTAATTCTTGTGATGTGTTTGTTGGGATCCGATGATTTGTGGATTTGCGATCAGATTGTTCATTGAATATAACTGAACCTTTTAAATTATGATGTATGATTGAGTAGCTATGTATGCTTTTCGAGTTATTTGTCTTCTCTGGCCAAGATAGATGGGTAATTCTTCAGTGGGAGTGGTCCATAGTAGTGGGTTCAATCTCACGGTGATCTATATCCCAGTGACAAAGTGGGGAGAAGGCTAGGTTTTTTCTGTCTACATCATGTCATATTGCTTATTGCGTTACTCTATTTTTCATTAAATTTAGTACTTTGAGATGCATACTGGATAGTGGTCTTGGGATGGAGTAATAGTAGTAGATGTAGTTGGATAACGGTCTACTTGTCACCTATGTATGCCTATACAAGATTACGTCATGAATGGTCATAGTTACGAATGATGCTTACCTGTCAGTCGCCCAACAATAATTTGTTTATCATGCCACTACCTGCTTTCAAGAGAGATGCTACTAGTGAACCTATGGCCCCCAGGTCCATTCTCCATTAATACTTGCGTTTCTATGTTACTATTTTAGTTACATTTATTTATTTTTCCATTTTGCCATATCGTTATCTATCACCATTTGCTTTTAACCTTGCAACTAACAATGCGAGGGGGTTGACAACCCCCTTGATAAGTTGGGTGCAAGCATTTTTGTTTGTTTTTGTGTAGGTGCTGCTTATCTTGTTAGCTTGTACACTCCTACTAGTTCGATTAAACCTTTGTTATTAACTAAGCAAAATACTTTATGTTGTTGTGCTACATCACCCTCCCTCTTCAGGGAAATTCAAACACTCCTATGGGAGTAGCAGTGGCAAGGTATGCTTGGATTCCTGGACTGCATGCATCATTAATGGAAGGATTGAACATATGATGTACGAGGGCAATATCATGGCAGTTTTAAGAAGCCCACCATCATTCTTGAAGTAGTTGCATCATAAGACCTCTGGATTTTGCACTCTTCTTTTCAAATATCCAGATCTCACAATGACATGTTGTAACGCTCTCCATTGTTTCCAAGACTGTGTGCGGGACTGATACGTCTCCATCGTATCTACTTTTCCAAACTCTTTTGCCCTTGTTTTGGACTCTAATTTGCATGATTTGAATGGAACTAACCTGGACTGATGTTGTTTTCAGCAGAATTGCCATGGTGTTATTTTTGTGCAGAAATAGAAGTTCTCGGAATGACCTGAAACTTCACGAAGATTATTTTTGGAATAAATAAAAAATGTTGGTGAAAGAATCAACAGAAGGGGCCCACCAGCTGACTGCAAGGGTGGAGGGCGCCCCCCTAGGGCGCGCCCCCTTGTCTTGTGGGTCCCACGAACCTCCACCGACCTCAACTCAAACTCCATATATTCATGTTCGGGGAGAAAAAGAATCAGAGAGAATGATTCATCACGTTTTATGATACGGAGCCGCCGCCATCTCCTGTTCTTCCTCGGGAGGGCAGATCAGGAGTCCGTTTTGGGTTTCGAAGAGGGGAAATCGTCGCCATCGTCATCATCAACCATCCACAATCACCAATTTCATGATACTCACCGCCATGCGTGAGTAATCCCAACGCAGACTTGCTGGACGGTGATGGGTTTGATGAGATTTACCATGTAATCGAGTTAGTTTTGTTATGGTTTGATCCCTAGTATCCACTATGTTCTAAGATTGATGTTGCTATGACTTTGATATGCTTAATGCTTGTCACTAGGGCCCGAGTGCCATGATTTTAGATCTGAACCTATTATGTTTTCATGAATATATTTGTGTTCTTGATCCTATCTTGCAAGTTATAGTCACCTACTACGTGTTATGATCTGGCAACCCCGGAGTGACAATAGTCGGGACACTTCCCGGTGATGACCGTAGTTTGAGGAGTTCATGTATTCACTAAGTGCTAATGCTTGGGTCATGTACTCTACTAAAAGGAGGCCTTAATATCCCTTAGTTTCCAATAGGACCCCGCTGCCACGGGAGGGTAGGACAAAAGATGTCATGCAAGTTCTTTTCCACAAGCACGTATGACTATATTCGGAATACATGCCTACATTAGATTGATGAATTAGACCTAGTTCTGTGTCACCCTATGTTAGAACTGTTGCATGATGAATGCCATCCGACATAATTATCCATTATTGATTCATTGCCTATGAGTTCGTTTTATATTGATCTTTTCTAAGTTACTTTTCCGTTGCTACTGTTGCGATTGCTACAAAACTGCTATTGTTACTTTTGCCACCATTACCGTTACTTCCATACTACTTTGCTACTAAATACTTTGCTGCAGATATTAAGTCTTTCAGGTGTGGTTGAATTGATAACTCAGCTGCTAATACTTGAGAATATTCTTTGGCTCCCCTTGTGTCGAATCAATAAATTTGGGTTGAATACTCTACCCTCGAAAACTGTTGCGATCCCCTAAATTGTGGGTTGTTAAGACCTTTTTCTGGCACCGTTGCCGGGGAGCATAGCTCTATTCTCTGAGTCACTTGGGATTTCTATCTGTTGATCACTATGAGGAATTTGAAAGATCAAAGAATCAAGATTTTCCCCTCAACTACGAGGGGAGGTAAGGAACTTCCATCTAGCTCTGCACTTTATTCTCCTTCGGTTTTGAGTAAACTTGTGACACCTACACCTGCTATTGATTCCAATATGTCGCATGTTATTGATGATGCCACTTCTGCTATGCATGATGCTTATGATGAAACTACTTCTCTGCTTGATAATACTGTGCCAGTAGGTGAATTTCTTGATGAACAACTTGCTAGGGTTAGAGATAATGAAATTACTGAAACTAATGATATTATAGAAAATGAATATTATGACCCCCTACATATGAATTGCCTGTTGTACCTGAGGGTTATACCATGGATGAGGAAACTGCTAGAGACTTTCTGTAAGTGCATCTAGTGCCCCTTAGTGATTTTGGTGTATTGAAGACTTATAGGTTAAGGGACTAATGTGTTTGTGAGAGTACACAGGTCTATAAGTCTAAGAGGAGTTTGATATTTAGAGAGAAAGTTGACCCCTAAAAATGAATGTCTTCGACTGGAGACTTTGAAAGTGAAGAAATTGGTGTGACCGTGAAGACTTGATATTCATACGAGGAACATGAAGCGTGAAGACTTGTTTTCGTAGTTTCATTTTCTCTTTCTTGAGTCATAGTGAAAGGGCATTTCCCAACTTTATGTTTTGGATGATGATGACAACCCTTGGTGGTCTAAACGTGTGCTTTATGTTTCAGGTTCTCGATGCTTAGACTTACATCGGATTGCTATTACCTCTCGAAGGAAAAGATCGAAGACGTGTCCTCTATGGTTTTATTTTCTTTGGTCGTAGAGTACCCGTACTATCAAGAGGGAATCCTCATTAGGAAGCTCTGGGGGAATCAGTTCACGTACACTTTTCTCACCCTCTCTTTGCCTTCCTCAGGTGTGTGTGAGAGAGAGAGAGTTTTCCTTGCCTCTTCCCCTCTTTTCTTTTCTGCTCACTGTTTCTGCCAAGCGGTTGTACCGCTCTCTGGAGCGGTTGTACCGCTGGGTCTTGTCGCTCACCAGCTGTGCTCGAGCGGTTGTACCGCTGCCTCCGAGCGGTGGTACCG